TTGAAAAGATGAGTAAGAGAGATCTTTGGCAAGCAAGTGTTACCAAGAAAGGGGCACCTGAGTGACTCAGTTGGTTAGGCAGCAAGACTCTTGATTTCAGCTCAGGCCATGATCTCAGTTTGTGAGACTGAGCCCCACATCAGGCTCCACACTGACAGTGCGTGAAGCCTGCTTCTGATTTCTCTCCCTCCCCCACTTGCACTCGCTCTCTCTCAAAATAAATAAACTTTAAAAAAAAAGGTGACCAAGAAAAAAAGAAAGATTCAAATAATCAAAATACAGAATGAAATGGGAGGCAAAAGCACAGGCACAAGAAGTTTTCTTAAATAATGAAGAACTATTAAAAAGTATCAGGATTATCTCTAGGCTAATAAAAAGATAAATTCCCATTAAATTATGCCAAACTTGGCGCAAAAAGAAAGAAGTTGAACAGATCAGTCAGTGTAAAAGTGATGAAAAGAGCAAAGATCTTGCCTTCTAAAAAAACAGCAGGTGCAAACAATTTTACAATAAGTTCTACCAAATTTTAAGGAATTCCTATCCTACACAACCTGTTTTGGAAAAATAAGAAAACCAAAAACTGACCAGAACATTTCATGAAGCTAATATACTCTTGATTCTAAAAATCAGATAATGACAACAAAATGATAGGTCTATTTAACATGACAGAAAAATTCTGCCCTAAATATTACCTAAGTAAATCCCACAGTGTATTTAAAAAGTAATAATACATTGGGACTGAATAGAATTTACCCAAGAATTCAAGGACATCTTTGAATTCCTAAGATGGTTCAATATCTGAAATAGATTTAGAAAGAAACCAGGTAATAATCTCCATAAATAAAGAATCCACATTATAAAGTTAAACAAATGGCAAAACTATGGAGTTAAAAAAAGATTATACTAGAGAACATCTGTTTGAACTAAGAATAGGGAAAAACTTAAAAACCCATAAAGTACACAATTAATTCTATCACATTAAAATTAAGGGTTTTGTTCAATAAAAGACATCACAAGGTTAGTGGAGAAATGACTAAATGACAGAATGGCAGGAGATATTTGTAATGCCAAAAATGGAAATGTGATTGTTATAGAGAATAGGTCAGAAATTCCTACAAATCAACAAGAGAACAGTAACCCTGATAGAACAATAGGCGAATGATATAGAAGGGCAATCTGCAGAACGTAATCTAGATTACAAAAACTAGAACGCTGGATAATTCTGGCTGCTGGCAGGAATGAGATGATGTAAGAAGTCTCAGGCACTGCTGGTGGAGGTGTAGACTGCCGGAACCATTCTGGCTTGGGTCAAAGCCTCAATTAATAAAGAACTGCTTCTCTGCCTTGCAGAATATATATCCTTTGTGCATATATTTCTTTTGGGGACTTCACAGGGAGGAATGGCTAGTCTAGCACAGGATTTGGGCCTTAGACATTCTAGGTCCTGACCAAATGCCTCTACCTGAATCGCACCTGACAGGACTGCATTGCCCACTGAGTCTAAAAGACAGAGAAGCCAAAATTCCACTGTACCCTTCTAACACAGGTCTGGATATGGCTTTACCTTTTTTAAAATGAGATTTCAAAACATTGTCCCAAATTGTGGTTGACGGGAAAGTATATTTAATTTTTGATATAATTTCTGAACTAAACCTGACTGCCTTCTAGTTGCACTAATTATCATTTAGGGAAAATGTGACCTCAGAACCTGGAAACAGAAGAAATTTAGCTCTAACAAAGAATGGATTCGAAGAATCGGTTCTTGGTATTTAAACAACCCAGAAGTACCACAAGAGAATAATCATACGGGTCCTCTTTTCTTACCCAAAGGGAAATACAGTCACTTTTCATCCAAGGGAATGGGACTTAAACAGAGGCTCTGAACGGGCGTGTCATTGGAAGGAGACGAACCTTAAGTGAGAAAAAAGGTCTCATCCTGATCCCGAAGCCAACTGGGGCAGGCCCCAGAAGGAGTAGTAAGATTCAACTCTCAAAAGGGATCAAGGATTCCATGCAGATTCTTCCTCCAGAAAAGAGCTGGAGGTGGCCAGGAGATAGAAGACAAGTGAAAGGGTCACTGGCTCTACATTCAAGCCCATGTTCAGTCATCAGGGTACTGGTAGAGGCTTGTCTCCAGACCAGAAAACTGAACAAGATCTCGGGCAGACCCAGCAAGGACAGAGGACAGGAAATGTACATCAAACCTGATGAGGTTGTGAGCACGAAGATTCAGAGGCCAAAACCGCTCTTCAAATTCCTGAGGATGAAAGATGCAGAGCTATGGTATCACTTGGCCATCATGATTTTTATCCTTTGGAGTTTGCTAACCAGGCAACCATTACCCAAATATCTGATAACAAGGAAAATTTATTTGGGTTGTCCCCAGTCTCTACCCAGATGGCAGATTTCTGTGCCGACAACAAAGCTGCTGTCTGGAAAGTGCCAAAAGCTGAGCCTTGGGAGCCTGTGGGGCTGGACCTACGAAAGGGGCCCAGCTCATTGGCCCACTCTGTCTCAGGGGCTGAGGGTGATGCCTATCCATGCTGTCTTCCTAGAAGAAAATACTGGTCAGGTCTGAGGTGCCCAGAGAAACTTTTTTCTTCACGCAACAATAGACTTTTGTGGCAGACCCTCGGGCTCTCTGCGCACTTACCAGAGAAACTGGTAGTTACAGCAAAGACAGGAATGTTTCCTGGGCACACAGGGTTATACATTGTGGACACATGCAACAGGTAACGTCTGTTTTAGATAAAAGAAACGTGAGATTAAAACAAAATAAACAAATAAAAAACGCTCTTTGGAACACAAGTGTGAGATAAGATTAATAACCGTTTGCAATTACGCACAAAGCAAAGAACCTTTCTAGAAGTCTTAGGAAAAGTTTATGATGTTCTTAAGGTTATGGTTTGTTTCAATAACAAATTTCAAAACCTTAAATGGTGCAAAAAGTACTAACATCCTAACTGTAACCAGATTTTATGTTATCCAGAGAAGAGAAGCTGGTTGAAATATCCTAAAAAACACCGTGATTTTTAAAAGAGCAAATTGCCATTTTCCTAAATATCAAGAGGGCAAGAAATGAGAAACAGCCATGTGGTTTCACAAACTCTCTATTTAGAGGCTAGCAGGAAAGAAAAATTTGTACCACATACTGCGGAAAGGATTAAGGCCATTCCCTCAGTCAGGCCTAGTAAGGAAGCAATATAAACAACAGTAAGGTAGGAAAACCATAAAAAGAGTAAGGAAAAAACATGCATACAGTAGACATGTAAAGGGGTCAGTGATATTTACCTATAAGAGAGAAGGAGGGGAATTACAACAGAGGACAAATCAAGAACAAGTCTGGCATTAGAATTTCCCAAACAAAGGGCAAAGTAGGTTATTAGCATCCACCCTGACATCAACTCTGTCATCACTCCCATCCACCAACACTTCCTTGCCTTTGTATTGGTATGAACCACTAATAAGAAATCAAGGCATCTTCTCCCTTCAACTTGGAGCCCAGGGGAAAAGAGGCTCCTGAGGTCTGCCAAGTCCAATCACCAGAGCTAGGTTTCCATGAAGTAGTTTTGGACCAAATACTAAATAAGTTTTCAAGTGCTCCTTTGCCTGGCCTTGTCCTGCAAGTATCTCTCTCCCTTGGTGATCTTGTTGACGGAGAATTTAGCTATCTGGAGTCCTGGTTATTTCCCTCTCTTCTCATAGAGAGGACATGACTCACAGTACTGACGTCGTTACTGTATAAATGCACTCTCAGAAGAGGGTCACGGTATCCAACCAGTTTTAAAGGAAGAAAGAAAAAACACCAGAAGAATGAAATCGCGAGGAACAACATCCAACCGAAATTGGCTGGGTCTTGAACAGTAAATCACTAGTTAACTAAGCAAGCCACCAAACAAAAGGAACCTGGGTGCCTCAGGTCAGTGTACCTGGTGGGCCACTGCAGTAGTCTCTTCATCCAAAAGGAATTTCACAGTTGGAAAGTCCTTCTGAATGAACAGCACCTGGCACCAAAAAGCTAGGCATGTTTTCAGAAAATGCTCACCACCCCATGTCACTACCTCATCAGCAGTGAAGAGACAGGGTGATCCTTATGCGGTCACTTCCTGAAATCACCTCCAGCTTACTTCAGGATGTCAGTGAGATACGCTCACCAGTCCCTATCACAAGGTGTCCATAAAACATCCTCTTTTAGTAATCTTCTGGCATTTCTTCTAGCCTTTCAAGGGGACTGTGCCAGAAACCTCTTCCTGATGAAAAAAAACAAAACAAAACAAAACAAAACAAAACAAAACCAACCTCATAATCTAGTTGGCCTAGCCAGGTCAATCGTTTCCATTTCATAGTACAGATAGAACTCAATTTGGCTGGAAAATATACTCCCTGTATTTAATGTCTTAGACATCTATCCAGTAAAATATTCCAATTTGGGGGGGCTACTTTCCCTTCAGTCTCCTAGAGTCAGCTAGGCCCTTGGTCATGGCTCTCCCCCAATGTGTTTGCAACTGCTTTCTTCTGCATCCGGAGGACACATGGCTTAGATTTTGATTAGAGACAATAAGACTGGGTTTTTTCAAGGTTTAGAATCAAAACACTTTGAAAAGATAATCTACTTATCAAATTTAAGGTGATCCGGTCCCACCACCAATGACAAAAAGATACTGAGTTAAAGCAAAATGAAGGGCAAAATGAAGTGCTTTTTTGGATTTGAAAGATCAGTTTAATTCTGTTCATATGAACCACAGGGGTGGACTGGGCACATCGCAGGAAATGTCAAGGTTGGCTATCAATATAACCCAAGACCCATTAGGAAAGGACAACAGCAACCACTAACCACAGGAACCAGCAGCCAGAAGCTGTCCTAAAAGCTGCCACTGGTTAGAAATTGGGAAGGTCCCAAATGCACCATGTGATTAGGTCTGTAGCACAGAGAGACTCCCAAAACTGAACACGGTCAGGTTAGTGTAAAATAAAATGTCAGGCAGCAATCCAGTACTCACCTTTGTCATGAACACAAACTGAGAGTTTCTGAACACCATCAACCAGAACATTCTGTGTGTTGCCATGTCCATCTTCTGAGTCGCTGTCATCAAACTGAGCCTCTATAATGACATCAGGACTGTCATTATAGCCTTTCACGGACTGCTGCGGGAGATGGCTTCCACAGAGCTCTTCAGGGAGATCTAATTCATCGGTACCTTCTGTTTCTTTGTCATTGCTCTCTGGTTTAATTACCTGAAGAAAATAGGAAAGTTCTGCTAAATCACTGGAGGGAAGAACAGGAAATAACAGATTTCGCTTTTTTCATTTTCCTTTCTGAAGGAAAAAAACTGCACATTCAGAAGCTCAAAGCAATGGACACTCGCCATGTAGCCTGAAAAAAAATATTTATTTTCCAGGTACACGGACCACCTTATGGAAACGATCAATTCAGCAATGCCAGGGTGGCACTCAGCTCCTCAAGGTGCCCAAGATTAATGTCATATCTACTCCTCATTTTTCTGATGTACATTTTCATCCCCTCATCAGAGGCCCTGAATACCACAAGGACTATGCTGCTTCACAAGGGTTCATCACAAGGGATCAAGGAGTATCTTCAGAGGTGATAAAAGAACTCAACATAGTATGTTACTGTGCTCCCAAATGAAGCCACAAGAATATAAGGTGAAATGGAAAAAAACAAAATTAACTGTAAATAAGAGTTTATAAATGTTCTCATAAAAAATGTAAACTCTTAATTCTCCATTTTGAGGCTTGAAATCAGTATACAAAGCACACAACTGATGGATATTTATAGAACTAAGGAAGCATTATATGACAATATTTTCAAAAAAAAGAAAAGGAGTAAAGCAAACAGAAGAAGAGTCCAGATACTAATCCACTTAATGAATTTGTCACATAACAGTCATATGTCAATACTTTGATTTCTATGGCATTTGATTTCTATGGATTTCTGTAGCAGTTTCTCAATGTGTTTATATTTGAGAGGTCTAATATTTTTCTAAGTTTAAACTTAAAGTTTCAAGTTAGATGCCTGCCTTCGACAAGCCAGATTAACATCTGAATTAGACCACACAAAGATCATATTAATAAGGGGTCTTTGTTTCACACAAGGCAGAGAAAGCTATTAAAAGAAATCTTTCCCAAAACATTTTCATGTCACAGATTCCAATTAACAACATAACCATCCCCAGACAATGAATATTATATTCAGCCAGAAAATCAAAGTAAAATACTACAAAGGTATTCACAATCAGAATAAAGATTCTAAGAATATATTCCCAAGTTTTTAAAAAAGTGACTTCAAGAAAATGCGGTAACAGAAAAACGTGTAAGCGGGGCGCCTGGGTGGCGCAGTCGGTTAAGCGTCCGACTTCAGCCAGGTCGCGATCTCGCGGTCCGGGAGTTCGAGCCCCGCGTCGGGCTCTGGGCTGATGGCTCGGAGCCTGGAGCCTGTTTCCGATTCTGTGTCTCCCTCTCTCTTTCTGCCCCTCCCCCATTCATGCTCTGACTCTCTCTGTCCCAAAAATAAATAAACGTTCAAAAAAAAAATTTTTTTTAAATAAAAATAAAAAAAAAAAGAAAAACGTGTAAGCAATAATTTTCCAGAGTAAAATTGTGCCCTTTAATAGCATTTTCTTGATTCCCAATTTCTGAATATATTTAATGAAATTTTCTTTCAACTCTTGCCATGTTTTGACTGTTGTCAGATTCATTCAATCATTTGTTCATTCTTTCATTCATCCATTTGTTCATTATTTCATTATGAGAAGTTTGAAGGTTCCTTTTCTTTGATAGTAAAAGAAAAAAAACAGCTGGTTAGGCCAGAAATCTCTAAAAATATCCCCTTAGGCCTCTTACTGCATGAGAACATAAGAGTAAAGCCATAGTTGGGTCTTTAAATTAATATACAATCATAAACCCAACTCTGCTTATCACATAAGTCCGGTTTTCACACCTGACCCAACGTAGATCATTCAAAAAACAGAATTTGCTGACAAGTTAGAGAAGAAAAAGAACTTGACATCTGTGTCTGGCAAATTCAGTAACGGGAAGATCTGCCCCTGACCATCCTCAAAGAATTTACACCCTTGAGCATTGTCAGAACAGCCCAAAGCACAGGCAGGAGGTATGTGCGCACACTCTGTGTCTAAAGCATGGTGGCTACAACAGGATCACTGATCTATTGTTTTTTCTGCACCATTCCCACACATAATTTCTCTCAGAGAGAGAGAATGACTGGCGTGCTAGAGTTAGACTCGCTGGTAGCATACAGTCTTCTGGAAAGATGTTAAGCTAAGAGTCCGTGCTTTTGGTTTCCATTATGTATTTATTTCTGCCACTAATGGTTTCACAAAGGATTTGGTTCCCACAGGACATGAAGAAAATCTTACAAGGGGAATCAGAATTCTGACATTATCAAATTTGAATGCTTAACTATCCTACAACGAAAAGTAGTCTTTTTCCATATGCGTGTGTGTGTGTGTGTGTGTGTGTGTGCGCGCGCGCGCGCAAAACATAACAATTCTGTAATTGCCATGATTCTGCTACTAAGAATTATGCTTTTATGGTTTGGCTCCCTCCCTTTTTTTTTTCTCCTTCCCCTCCCCCATGGTCTTCTGTTAAGTTTCTCAGGATCCACATAAGAGTGAAAACATATGATATGTGTCTTTCTCTGTATGGCTTATTTCACTTAGCATTACACTCTCCAGTTCCATCCACATTGCTACAAAAGGCCATATTTCATTCTTTCTCATTGCCACGTAGTACTCCATTGTGTATATGAACCACAATTTCTTTATCCATTCGTCAGTTGATGGACATTTAGGCTCTTTCCATAATTTGGCTATTGTTGAGAGTGCTGCTATAAACATTGGAGTACAGGTGCCCCTATGCATCAGCACTCCTGTATCCCTTGGGGAAATTCCTAGCAGTGCTATTGCTGGGTCATAGGGTCGACTCTTAAAAACGGAGAACAAACTAAGGGTTGATGGGGGGTGGGAGATGGGTATTGAGGAGGGCACCTGTTGGGATGAGCACTGGGTGTTGTATGGAAACCAATCTGACAATAAATTTCATATTAAAAAATAAATAAAACTAATGATCCATAATGAAAAGAAAGGATTATGCTTTGGCTCAAAAGTAAAAGGTTCAAGTAAAAGTCAATGCGAAGAGGAGATCAGGGGAAAGCAATAACCACAGCATGCCAAGCCTGATTGTACAGCACATTTTAAAACCAGAGCCTGGTTCTGACTTTATGACAATCTCCATGGTTTAGATTAGCTACATTTAAGAATTAGTATTTTAGGCACTAAATTTACTTTTGAGTTACTGTATCAAAAATGTTGTACAGAGGCAGGACTTCATGAATCAAGTCATTCGAAAATATGTAGTAAAAATATAAATTAATATCCTGTATTTAGAAGTATTTGTATTCTATTTTGTTATACCAGCACATGAAAGAACAGAAATACATTCTTTAAAAATGTAAAAGATTGGGGCGCCTGGGTGGTTCAGGCAGGTAAGCGTCAACTTCAGCTCAGGTCATGACCCCCCAGTCCATGGGTTTGAGCCCCGGCTTGGGCTCTGTGCTGACAGCTCAGAGCCTGGAGCCTGCTTCGGATTCTGTGTCTCCCTCTCTCTCTGCCCCTCCCCCACTCATGCTCTGTCTTTCTCCATCTCTCAAAAATGAATAAACATGAAAAAAAAAATTTTTTTTTTTTAAAGATCATCATAAGACCACAGGATAAAAAAGACACTCTAAAACTACTCCATATCACACACTGGTTAAGAGTGAGGGTTGCAGGACCCTTAGAGAAATGGCTAATTCAAGTCTGGAGCAGAAAATAGATAAGATGAACCTGGAACATCTTGTCATACCAGGAAAATAAGGAAGCTATCAAAGGCTACTAGGATCTTATCTAAAAAACTCAGGAATCACCATGAAAAAGCTCTCACTGGTCAACCTTAAGCATTTATCCCCTTTCCTGTACAACCTACCTCAGGTTAACCAAATAATTGATGAAGTAAAGTTCTTCTTGACTGAAGAGTTTCAGCTAGTTAAGAAGGAAGGAAAGACGTTCAATATCACATTTTGCCATCCCTATTGAAATAATGGATTTAGGAAATGATTATCAATGGTTGCTGAAACCAATTAAGTCATAACCTGATGGGGATGGAGTTTTATAATAAATGAATCAGAGTAGCAATACCTGTACTGACTAATCAATATAAATATCTTAAAAAGAGAAAGAACCATAGTGCTTCCTGATGGATTATAATTGTAAATACATACCATTATCCATAAAGTATTTTTCCCCCAAACTGACCTTGAATCTGACCTGAAACAGGGATCAGAGGAGCACGTTAAACAACACTAGGGACAGGATCCATTTACACTCACTCCCCAGGTGATTTCATCCAGTCTCATGGCTTTAAACTTCTCTATATGCTATTAACTCCCGAAATTAAATGCCTAGCCTCGACCTTTCCCCTGAATGCCAGACTCCTATCCAATTGCCTACCTGACGCCTTCCTTTGGATATTTGTTGGCACCTGAAATGAGAAAGCCAACTAGTCCCCACTAGAACCCACTCCTCTCCCAGCATTTGCCCTCTCAGCAGATGGCACCAGAACATGTCACCTTCTTCTCATGCCCCACATCCAATCCATCAGAAGAGCCCGCTGGTCCTTCCTTTCAAATATCTCTTCTTGACATTTACACTGCTACTGCACAAGCAACCTTTATCTCCTTGCTGAACTACTGTGATAACCAGTCTCCTGATTTCCATTTTGGACCAAAGCAGTTACAGTGATGCTTTTAAAACATAAATCAGGGGGCTCCTGGGTGGCTTCGTTGGCTGAGCATCTGACTTCAGCTCAGGTCATGATCTCACAGCTCATGGGTTCAAGCCCCACATCGGGCTCTGTGCTGACAGCTTGGAGCCTGGAACCTGCTGTGGATTCTGTGTCTCCCTCTCTCTCTCTGCCTCTCCCTCACTTGCTCTCTCTCTCTCTCCCAAAAAATAAACAAACATTTTAAAAAATTTAAAACATAAGTCAGATCATGTCATTCTCCCAATGGCTTCCAACACCATTCCATTATCATGCCACAAGGCCTTGTCAAACCAGGCCCCTGTTACTGTTTCAGTCTCATTTTCTATAACTTCTTCCTTGCAAATTACACTCCAATCCTAGAGATCTTCTTGCTATTCCCAGAACACTAAAACCATCCA